ATAAAACAGACCAGATGTATACTTGCCCTCAGCTGCATGGTATGCGGTATACTCCTGCGGCGGTGAAGGGGTCCCTTTTGTCTTTTGCTGGTTTTTGCCCATGTTGTATTTTTCTGGTGGGTCTGAAGATTGTTTGGAAATTGTGTTTTTCTATCAGTTTTCCCATGCGGTCTGTGACCCCTTTTGATGTAGGGCAAAACTGCTCTCTGAAGATGCCGGTTACAGATGCTGGCGAAATGTTAGGAAACAAAACTTCCAGAACACGGCCACACAGCCTGGAGGACCCACACCAGCCATCATATTCCGGCCGTGAAAGCCTTCAACAATACATTATATCAGTTCATCTTCAAACCATTTATAAGATGCAAGTAATCCATCTGGTCTTTTTTATTAACTTCTCTTATTGTTATAGGTCCATTCATCATCTGCTTTTGTTTTTCTGTTATTTTTGGTAGATGTCAGGTTCAGCCCAAAGAACTCCATGAGACAATGCAGATACAGTTCTGTTGCGTTTATCAGCTTCCACCTCAAAGACAGAAACCTGCCAGACTGAATCTAAACTTCCCAAGCCAACAAGCCAGAACACCGTGAATTCCTTAGGGTGGTGCCAGTCTCATCCTCTTAACCTTCCCATGCTCCTGTTGGGGGCTAAGGGAATGCTTATCTCCCCAAGCGTGGCCTTCATCAAACCATTCCATCATAGTAGCTTTGATTTCTTTAGATATTTATCTACTTTCTCATTTGAAATCTCTTCACCTTTATATAGTTTTGCATAATATTGTTGAAAATCTTTTGCATGTTTGCATTATCTGTTATCATAGCATTCCCTTTTTGTAGTTTTAATATCATTCCTCCCCCCCCTTTCTTTCCTCAGTTTATATGCTAACCACTTCCCTGGCTTATTTGCTAATTCAAATTCTTTTGTTTAGCAAAGTTCATTTTTATTTCCACTTCTTTTCTTTAACTGTCAACATGGAAAATTGGCATTGCACAAGTTTAATTTGTGTCAAAATACTTTTCCTTCCTGGTGATCTTTTTAATTCATCTTCTTATACTCGTATCTTTGCTAAAATCTTTTGCATCTTTTCTTCTCTCTGTTTTTTCAGTGTAGTATTCTGTAATATAAATTATCCTCTCATAAATGCTTTACTTGCATCCCAAAGTTTCTTTATTTCCATATCTTTGTTCAAGTTGATCTTGAAATTTTTTTCCCCCATTCTTTTTTACAGTCCTCAGTTACTGATTCTTTTTGTAACAAAGTTTCATTTAATCTCCACCTGTGTGTCCTAGATTTCTTCTTATATGTCAAAATCACTGGATTGTGATCTGAGAAAGTTTTTGGTAATATCTCTGCTTTACTAGTATATGTAGATAATTTCTTGGAAATCCATAATATATCAGTTCTTGAAAAAGAAAGGTTCAGCATTTATTCCTTCTCGACCACTCTAGGTAGGCAGTTATTCATAGAGAAGAATAAAATCAACCTTGACCAGCCACTGAAACATCTAGGGAAAAAGCTAGAAGAAAGTCTAAGAGATTCTGACCTCAAACTGGACACTCGTAAGTGTGGAAGGGGTCAGGGCTGAGAAAAGGAAACCCAGATGCCTGAGCTTGCTAGTCAAATGTGCTTTGATTGAACTAGGTGGGAATGGGGTTACTTTGGGGGTCCCTTCCTGCCCTCCAGCAGAGTGAAGACACAAAGCCTTCTTATCCCACCCCCCTGCCACCAGTTTAAGCCCATCGCTTTTTCTTCCTTTCAACAGACTGTTTGCCCAAGACTTGAAGATAAGCAGTTGTTGGTTGTTGATATAACTGACATCTCTGACCTGTGAACCATTTGCTCATGGCTTAACTCACATACCACCCAACCAAAACTGCAGGATTTTGATATCTGTTTTCAGATGTATTAGGTTTATTATTTGTATTCATCAGTATGGTTGTGACACCCATCTTTTTAATGTCTTTACCACAACTGAAAAGGTAACAAAAATCTGCTACTGATTTCTAGGGGAATGGATTGGGGGGATTGTAAAAAGGGCTCTTACTGCCACCCCCTCATATGTCTTCCTCCAGCTTAAAATCTGCACTGTTTCATGCACACTCACTAATGTAACTTTCCCCATTGTTCTTTCTGGTATGAATTGCCCCAGTTCCAGCATTCAGAACATGCTAAGGATTCTTGGAGAGTGTGGTAGTGTAAAAGTGAAGCAAATAAGTAGACAAATAAAGGAAAGATGAAATTAGGCGCTGGCCATCTCCTGGGATGTCTGTCTCCCTTCATTTTGCTTTGTAAAGAAATGACATCAGTTAAACTGTCATCCCTCTGCCATTCGACCTGAGTCCATGGATGGGAGCCTTGTTCGTTTTCTCATGCCTTCTCTTATAGAAGCGGGTTTCCTCTATTCCCTAATGCCCTAAACCCTTTTGATCACCCTGTTTCCCCACAATTTTCACCACCCAGTGGAGACCAATCCTTAGTGCAGTGAAATGTCCATCACTTGCTTCCCAAAGTCCAGTCCCTGTGCTGTGTAAGAGAAGCAGAATAGGTAAAGGACAGCAACGAAAACAGAACTGCAGCCCAAAAGCTGAGTTTGCCTAGCACGCTTTTCTTTCCTTCTATAATAACTTTATTAAATTTTAAAAACCCAGAAAGATAAAAGCTAACAAGAACTAATAATCAAGAAAGAGAATAGAAAGAATAAAGAGAAAGAAAGAAAGAAAGAAAGAAAGAAAGAAAGAAAGAAAGAAAGAAGCAGAAATACAAAAAAAAAAAGGACTAACTTCCAACTCCTTTTACAGCAGATATGTAAAACTCTTACACTAAGATTTCAACTTAACACCCATCTTTTCTATAATCTATTAAGTTTACTAATCGTCAAATCCATACACCATAACTTCACTTTTTTCTGTTTCCCGCAAAAAGGCCATAAGGGGC